TCTATACATATGTTAGCAAAAAAAAGCGTATCTAATGTAAGCCACCTTATCTCTCTTTCTTTCTCTCTCTCTCTCTCTTTCTTTCTTTCGCATATATATTCGTACGTTGTTAACCTGAAAGACTCGATAAGACAAAAATGCGAGTTATATATTTTTCTGTTTTTTAAAAAGAGAAAGAGAGGAGGGGTGGAAGAAAAAATCGAATATTTGCAATTATCGAAGAATAAAAAGTAATTCAAGCCCCGTCGTGATAATGATTATATTATTTTATTCATTTTTTCTGTGTATTTCATTTTTCAATTTTTTTTTTTGTTCTTTTCAAATATAATGAATTTTAATTCGTGGAATATAATATAAAATTGGTGCTAGCAATGATTTTCGACTGCCACGTAAGACGTTAAAGTTAATTGCGTAATCACATATCGCGTTACACTTTTTATTATAATGAAACTTTCGACAATTATGATTACGTGTGTATTATCATCGTTACGTGTAATTAATATGATATATCGATAAATGTTATTAACGATGACCAACGTTAACTTATCGTAGTTTTTGAAGGATGTCTGACGCATCTGTTAGATTAGACCAACACGTTGCCACTCTATATCGGTATGAGGAAAAGATACTAACGTAAATTCACTATTATTGCTAACAAGACCTCGAACGATTTCATTGAATTTTTATCAAGATTGAATATTATTTCTGAAAAAGAAAAAAAAGAAAAACACGAACGACCGAAAATGAACATTCGAACGATAATCGAAAATTCTGAAGAAGAAAAATTCTCTTTCACATTTACAGAAGAGAGTGTTATAACTATTCCGATTAAATTGGAATTTATCTTTTCGACGAAAAAAATAAACCATCAATCTCGGATTAAATTTGGATTGGTAAAAATAAACGTTCAATGATCTGTTATCTCGAGAAATCGTTTTGTACCTTGCATTTATAAGAAAAAAAACATATAAAAGAAAGAAAGATAGAAATGGATTAGGTACACACGAAACGACAGCACACTCTTATATTTCACTTTTTTGTTCTTTTATTATTTGAATTATGTACAACTAGTTTCTCAGATAATCGTTTGGGAATCACTCGGAGTCGCGTGTGTACACGTGAACCAACTAAAGGATTCCACTGACTGACTGGTCGTCGATCGATGCCAAGCTAAATCCCAACGCCTAATGTAAACGGACAATATCAAGGGTAGAAAAATCGAGCGATAGAAAATTAGGTCACTGAGAATGAAGAGACAGGAGGACACATAGAGAAACTAGACTAAATCGAAATGACCAACCGAATTTGACCGAGAATAACAAATCCCCCTCCTATCACCCACCTACCCCATCCCCAGCTTCTTTTCAATCTTTGCTCTTTCGAATAATTGTTAGGATGAGAAAAGTATACAATGTCAAGATCTATACGATTAAATTCTATCAAAGATCGATAATATATTTGTTAAATGCTGCGTTCGATATATTATAATCATTTATATTTTAGATATTTATATATATATATATATTACTGTAATAATATTAAATATTAATTGAATATTATCTTTTTTTCTTTTTTTAAATTTTGCATAAGAAATGTTTACTCAAAGATAAACCCTATAGCAAGTAACAGTTATTACAGTGTTTCGAGCTATCAACCACAAATATGCATAAACATCCGCTGACGTTGTATAGATGAGGATTTGGTTCACCATGCACACGATGACAACGGTTAAGGTTCATTCGAATTTTGGTACATATATGTTTTTTATATGAATTACTCTGATTTAATGTAACTCGTGGCTTACAATTAGTTGTATACTATTGTGCAAATAATATTTGTATAGAAAATCATGACGGAACGGCCAAATAAATTATAATATCATTCTCTATTTCTCTCAGATCGATAAATTCGCGTAATCCTTATCCACGGTTAAAACTTCAAAAAGAAAATACGAAGAGAAAATAAAAGACAATCGATTATTCTTACAAATTACAACTAGTTCCATTACTTACGTTTTACTTTACAACGCGTTGCTATACGCACGTATAAAAGTTCACGGTCAAAGTAATTTTCGAAACTTTTATGCACTTTATATATATATATATTCAAGAATAATAAAGACTGAATTTTTAAATGACAATGGTCAAATCTATAAGATCCTAACGATATTATATAAACAAATATTTCAATTTCATATTTATTTTTGTTTTTTAATTCTAATCGATATTAAAATATCGATTATATAAAGTTATCAGATAATATCTATATGTAACAATCTTAACAACAATATCATCTATGAAATAATTGTAATAAATCGTTCATTTTTTAACTATTTTTTTTTATAGAAAAGATTACTTTATAAAAGACCCATGAGAGATCTGTGATATTTGACCATAGCAATTTAACAGGATACACGCAGTATATATTTAAAAATACTTTGAAGAATTAATAGTCTCTATTTCTCTCTCTCTCTCTCTCTCTCTCTCTCTCTCTCTCTCTTTTTATTTTTCATCATGATCGTCGGAGAAGAGAATCATTCTCAACGAAAGACGAAGCCAATAAAAAGAGATAAATGATCCAAGATCGCGTAACTAATTTATGCTTGTGCCTCTCTGACAAACACACACGCACACGCATACATTTCTACATTGTTACATATACACACAAACACAGATTCTTTCGTTAATGTCTCTGATTTATATTCTCGCTTTGGTCGATCGATCGATCGTTTGATATGCTCTAGTAAATAACGTGGATCGAATAATTAAGATCTACTAGGATCTAGTATTCCGTCTCTCTTGCTACAATCAAAATTAAACAATATTCTTATTTCAATATATTTTCTACTTCTTCTTTTTTGGATTTTTTTTGCGTGTGTGCGTGTGTATTCGGTTATTTTTTTGTTTTTTTTTTTACACAACATATTTATCGCAATATCTATACTGCATGAAGTTTTACAAGAAGTAACTGAATGAAGAATAGAAAATACTGTCTGTCCTCTTTATCCTTTCTTGGGATCACACAACATTACGACTCACATACAAATACGATTCTAATACCGTTCATGGGATTCTATTTTAAACCGTATCTACGTACGTTTATTTTCGTACGCGAAATGTGAAACTATTTTTATTTTACCTAGATTGTTAAAGAACAAAAAAAAAATATATAACAGCAAATACATTTAAAAATGCTAGAAACGAATATGGAATATTCTCATTTCCACGGAAACACAAATTTGAAAAGATAAAAAGTGTGTCTCGAATTTTCTTTTCGATCTGAAACGAGTTAATTACTTTGTTTAATTAAAAGCAAACGTAAATCATTGTCTCGGAACGTAGAACATCAAAGAAATGATTTATTTCGCTTGGAAGATCTATTTTAACACATATTTTTCTAAGTATATAAACTCGAAATTGAAAGTAGTCGATTTGTATCCTACAATTATTTGAATTTCAAATACAAAGTTTCTCTACACGTTCGCGATACGTTAAATATATGTATAATAAATATAAATAAAGTACATTAATAAGAATAATAAAATAATACATACATTTTGTAGGGCTCCCAACGTGGTCCACGTGGCCTTGGAAAATGCTTCCTGATCCGAGGGATGGCACTGGTCTCTCTCCCCCGCACAGTGTCTTCGAACTTTCTTCTTTGCTTACGTTTCACATCGTATCGTTAACAAACTAATCACCTTGCTTAACGCATCAACGTATGATTTTAAAATCAAATTAAAATATCCTATTCGAATGAAAATAACCCATCCAAAGTTAATAACTTTTATTTGTTTTCATTAAATTTTATTATTTATTTTTAATTCCGGAAAAAAAAAACAAAAAAACTAGGAGAATTATTTAAACAATACGATATAGGTAAAAGACTTATTGTGCCACGTACGTCAAATGGTTTTTGAATGACTTATAATCGGTAGAACGAGAATATTTATCGACGACCCGTTAGAGATAACTAAAGTACACACATTACAACCCAAAGGAGACACGGAAGAACGCGCGAACTTCTTCGTACTGACGTTCACCGTTCACCGTTCCATTCCCCTCCCACCACTTCACTAATGCAACACCTCCCACCACTCCAATCGTATGGAGTAGGACCAACGTGGCAACAAACGCTCGACCCGACTGTCGTAGGTACACTGACACGGTCACTCAAACGTGCACGGTGCCATGACACTATAGCGCCATCTTTGTAGACAGTAGTAGTAGGGATATTAAATGGTCAGCCCCTTTAATTAAGTGGAGGATACCTTAATCAAGTCAGACAATTTTCTTCGTTGTGCGCAAGGTGTTCTGCGCAGGCGGATAAATATGAAACTGCAAAATACATTAATCATTTAAAACGCGTTAAAGTACGAAAATACAACATATAATACGATTTATTTGTTTTTATTCAAGGAATTATAATATGTTTTAATAATTAAATACTGAAACGTTTAATAATATGTTAAATTAATACAACTTTTTACTGATTTGATTTACTTGATAGCATTTTTTAGCACGCTAATTAGCATCCCTTTTATTGAAAGAATTATTGCGTATTCATATTATGAAGAAAATTCTCTGACAAAAAAAAAGAATTTTATTGTCCACGTCGTGATATTTTCGATCTTTTTCTCGATAATAAATTACCTTTTAAATTGATAAAATAGTACTATTTCAAATATGAACTAAATGGCGGGGAATGCATGGGGGCCAATCGAATGTATCGAAACTTCCTACCAATGGTGCACCTTCGCGGGAATTTTAAAAACGAAATCAGACTTGTTTCAATCCAACAAAAACTTTAACAAAAGAAATAAGATAAACTATGGAGAAATGTGTTGGAAAATAAAGAAAAATGATAGAAATGAATAAAATCATGCTTTTAAAATGAATAATAATAAAATAATAAGGATTTTAATGGATTTATAAAATAAAACTAGGTATAGAAAGTAAAGATAAAACCTGTAACATTGGCAACACTAACCATATCAACTCCGTCATCACGAAACTGTTGGTGGGCAGGCAGGAAAGAAAGGAGGTCTTCCGTTCCGGCATAATAGTCGTGCGAGTTGGCAGCCACGAGAGCTTATTGTCGCGACCATTTTATCTCCTATACCTTGATAAACTTCGAAACGGCAACACCTCTTTACTCCAAAGTTTTCTTTTTAACCGTTTCCCTTCCCCTGGACCCCTCTGAGCCCCTAGCACCCAAATTGAAAGGAATCAAACCGTCAACTTGTCATATATATTGTCACCGTTAAAAGGATCCTCCTTCTACGATTTGTATAAGAAAAAAAAGGAGAAGAAGAAGAAGAAGAAGAAAAAGAAAGTAAGGGGAAACAAAATTTCAAACGTCATTTTTAAGAATTATTCCGTGCAACAAAGAGAAACGTCAAGATGAATGAAGAATACGACGCGATTGTTCTTGGGACCGGCTTAAAAGAATGCATCCTATCGGGTATGTTATCGGTTAGTGGAAAAAAGGTACTCCACGTAGACCGCAACAAGTATTATGGTGGTGAATCGGCCTCCATAACACCATTGGAAGATCTATTCGCGTAAGTTTGAACGATGTTTTTTAATGATCGACATTAAATCGATCTATTTGTTGTACCCTGATGATCTAATCCTCCACCCTATTCCCTTCTCTTGACGTTTCCTCTGGCTATTCTTTTCCTTTCTTTTTTTTTTTTTCTTTTTTTGTTAAATCGATTAAATCATCATTTTTCTATTCCTATTACTAAAGAGAAAATGTCTTATCGAATAGAGGAAACATAGCGAATGCGAGATTCTTTTTTAGCAGCGCCCGTGCAATGCGGATTTATTGATTTTTCCCTTTGGTTCCTGTCGTACACACGGAACACTCTATGTGTGATCTCTCTTCCTGAACAAGCTTCGTTAGACGATCGAAATCTTCCGTTACTAACTCTCTCTTTTTCTCTCTCTCTCTCTACATTACTCCTACCAACCCCTTTCCCCTTTTATCCATATACTATTCTCTCTCTCTCTCTGATACGGAAATCGTTGAAGAGGAAGTCGAACGGGGACAAATTTCACTCCTTAGACATATTTTTTTTGGTCTTCTTTCGTTAAACTATAATTTTTCTATTTTCTACGCGTAACAATATTTAAAAAGAAAAGAGTAGGCGGGGGCGGGAACTTCAAATCCATAAGGATGCATTTTGACTTGTTTTTCCTTTTCATAGGTGGGTGGAGACGAGAATTTTTTTTAATTAAAAAACAAATTTCTATTTCTATTTTGATTTTTTTTCGTAGGGCGGCAATTTCAAATCGTCGAATATTTTTTTTCTTTTTTAAATTCTTTTCCCTTCGTTGAAACATTACGTTTACTAGACATGATAAGATTTATCTTTTCTACTCTTTCAGTTTCTTCATGCGATTTATTTTTTGTATTCTTTTTACGTAATGATAGTTAATCCCCACCAATTTCTAAAGTCATCAATCGGACACAGATGTATAATTGTGTATGCAAGTAAATTTATCAGGAAAGTGGGTTGTGATTGATACTGCAATACGACCTTGAATTTTTATATTAATTTAAATATTCTCTTTGAAAAAATATGATTTCTTCATTATAGATTAAGAATGGATATTGTTGACAATTATATTGGGTGATAAAAATATATTTTTATCTCCTCAGCCTTCTTCTCATTCTCTTTCTTTCCTCTTCTTCTTCTTCTTTTCTTTAATGATCATAAGAAACATTCAATGACTTAACAAAATACATAATTTTCTCCAACGTTAGTGCAAGCATACTATAATTTATCTATTATTTGCTAACATGATGTTACATTATTGAAAGGAAAATTACAATTGATCTCAATTACATGTTGTCATATAGCAAATTCAAAGCTCCACCACCAGATGAAAGTTATGGACGTGGTAGAGATTGGAATGTTGATCTTATACCTAAATTCTTGATGGCCAACGGTCTCCTTGTGAAGCTATTGATTCATACCGGTGTGACACGTTATTTGGAATTTAAATCGGTAGAAGGATCTTATGTGTATAAATCAGGAAAGATCTCTAAGGTACCAATCGATCAGCAAGAAGCTTTGTCCAGCGATCTGATGGGTATCTTTGAGAAAAGACGTTTCCGGAACTTTCTTGTATGGGTGCAAAATATGAAGGAGGATGATCCTAAAACTTGGGAAGGATTTGATCCCTTTAATAATAATATGAGCGCACTTTACAATAAATTTAACCTTGATAAAAATACTCAAGATTTTACGGGTCATGCATTAGCTTTATACAGGTGAATTATTGCGTTATAACATAAAAGTAAAATACATCAAAATAATGTCATAAAATACTAAACATTTCTTTTCTTTTTTTTTTTTCTTTTTAGGGACGACGATTACATAAGTCAAAGTGCGATAACAACCATAAGGAGAATCAAATTGTATAGCGATAGTTTAGCACGCTATGGCAAATCTCCATATTTGTATCCTATGTATGGCCTCGGTGAACTACCTCAAGGTTTTGCTCGACTTAGCGCCATTTACGGGGGTACGTATATGTTGGATAAACCAATTGATGAAATCGTCATGAAGGACGGTAAGGTACGTAAAATAATCCTCGATAATTGCATCCTTAAATGCATTATTTGAATTGATCTTTTATAATTGATAAAATCATTTCTTTCGATCGTAGGTCGCTGGTGTACGTTCTGGAGACGAAGTAGCTCAATGTAAACAAGTATTTTGTGATCCTACCTATGTACCTGATCGCGTGAAGAAAGTTGGCCAAGTTATAAGATGTATTTGCCTTTTGGATCATCCGATACCAAGTACCGGCGATGCCCTTTCAACGCAGATTATCATTCCGCAGAAACAGGTAAGCTGTCAAATTAAAGTGAAATAATTATAACATATCTGAACATTATACAAATGTAATTTATTCATGAAAAATAATATTGTGACATTACAGGTGAATCGTAACTCTGACATCTACGTTTCTTTGGTATCGCATACTCATCAAGTAGCCGCAAAAGGATGGTTCATAGCTATGGTGTCTACCACTGTAGAAACTAAAAATCCCGAACAAGAGATACAACCAGGATTAGATTTACTTGGCCCGATAAGACAAAAATTTGTTTCCATATCAGATTACATGGAAACAACCGACGATGGCTGCGAAAGTCAAATTTTTATTTCTAGGAGTTACGATGCTACAACGCATTTTGAAACTACCTGCTTAGACGTACTAGATATATTCAAACGCGCAACCGGCGAGGAATTTGATTTCAACAAAGTTAAACAAGAATTAGGCGACGAGGATCAGTAACCGTAACAATGCGCGTTGTGATGATTTTGTCCATTACTCGAGAAACAAAATTCAACTATCAAAGTCTAAGTAATTTAATCGGACATTTATCTTACCGACTGTGTCGGTCGTCGAGGTCTTAAAGCAAATACATACTGAGCATGTAATATTGCGATAAGACAAACCCCGTTTATATAATTCATTTACTATTCTCTTTGACAGAGAACGAAAAGAGAATTTATTTTTTTTCTCTGTCTCTTAATCGGAACTTCGTCATCCAACATTATTATGTTGATCCCTTACTTACAATTAATCTAAAACGAAACTAAGCAAACTTTCATTTATATACGAGACATTGAATTTATTTTTTTTTTTTTTTTTTTTTTTTAAACCTCTTCCGATCATCCAATGAAATAATAGATTAATAAATCTATTTCGCATATATATTTGAATGAAACACGGGCCATGCCAACAGTAGCAGCAAAACATATTATTATTGTCAATATATGCATGAATTTTTAAGAATGGCATAGAAGAAGACAACAGTTTTACGAATACAGATTGTGTAATATTTTAATTACTGAAATAAATAGAACAAAATGAGGCTGAAGTAGGAGAGACCATAATAATTATTGTTGCAATGTCATCGATTAAAAAAAAAAAACAGACACGAGATATATATTATATATATATATATTAAGGAGTAAGACGAGAGACACAATATAGCGAATTAAATGAAAGAAATTTAAATAGCATGTTTCAGTTTAGCTTTAGAGGAGAATATATTATTCCTATGCATATAGAGATAATAATAATTCTTGAAAGTGGATGTAAGCTAAGAAGAAATTAAAATGACATCGAGTAATATAGGATAGAGTCGATATTCTCTATAAAAAAAAAAAAAAAAATGGAATAGTGCAAGAGCGATCGAGTATGTTTTATCATGGATAATAATATATGTAAAGATGAAATCGAATCGTTGAAAAATTGTTATTTTATGTGAGCTTGCGAATGTGAATATTCCTTTGCATATCCCTTGAATGTATCAGAAATATCTATCGTTATTTGATAAGGTTTGCGAAAAAAAAAAAAGAAAAAGAATTAAAAAAGAAAAAAAAATAGATAGATAGCAAGAGCGCATATGTCCGTACATCTGCTCGCTGCTGCTACTGATAGCATATGCATTGTGTGAGAATAGAATGAACGTTCGATCATTTCTTTTATTTTTTTTCTATATTTCCATTTTGCTTGCACTTTTTGCTTAAAATCACCAAGAACACTCGCAATTTCGTACTATGTACAACAAATTTGATGTATTGTGCATACACATTGATAAATAATAAATAAATCCCTTTTTTTTTCTTCTTCAGAATGGTATTGGCAATGTAAACTGTAATACAAAAGTCCTATGGAATAAATATATTGATTTAATATCCGTTTATATTTTATTACATTAATTTGAGTTTGTCTTTATTACTCTTCCTTTTACTAGTTTGAAAAATCTTTGATATCTTCTTCGCATTGCTCTAAAATGTAAAGATTATTATCTCTACATCCAACTATGATCAATCCATTTGCCATAACCGGCGATGAAAATATTTCTCCATCAAGTTTAATACTCGATAATATATTTCCTTGGGAAAGTTCATAGATACATAATGTACCATCTTTACAAGCTATACACGCATGACCATCTTCGTTCCAAGGCGTGGTATAAATTTCCAATGATGGATTTTTAACATACTTTACAATTGGTTCTTGCTTTTCTATTGTATAATTTAATTCCAAATAATACATACTCTTGGTCGAAAATCCGAAAATATTATCACAATTTTTTATCGGATCATATTGTATTATGGGTTTTGAAAGTATAACGTTATTTACTTGGTATGTCCATAACTAGAAAGAAAAATATTCATTCGGTATATTATAGATCAATCATTTTTTGGATTAAAACTTATTAACTTTTTAAGTATCGTCACCTTCGTATCAGCTTGAATATCAAAACAGACTAATACACCTGTTACTCCGCTAAAAAGTACAAATCCGTTATGAAGTATAACAGGTGATACAAAAATAGGACTAAGTATTTCATGTCTCCAATAAACATTTCCACTTGATTGATTTAATGCTATGCAAGTACCACCTAAAGTTCCAAATAATACTGAATTCGTTGGTGAATGTAAACTTCCGCTTGCTGTAATACTCGATTCGCTGACTTTCGTGTTCCATATTTTCGTTCCATTCTAGATTTAATATTTATGCATTTTTTAATTCGGTCAAATTAATAAACAAATATATACGTATGCATTTTTACATACTTCGGTGGAAAGGCAGTATATGTTTCGATCGTGAGATCCAATATATAATACATTATGCGATTCAGATAATAAAGCTGTACATTTAATTATATCTCCTGTTTTATATTTCCAAATAATTTCCCCTGTCTTTAAGCAGAAACAATAAATATGATAATCGTAACAACCTACGAATAACAACGATTACAAAAATGAAGATTAATCATATCTTATATGATCTAAAGAAAAAAAATCACTTACCAACGATACCTTTAAAATTATCTAAAACTACGATTGAAGCTTCGATTGTATTTGGAAATTGAATTTTATAGGCATCCCTATCATTTTCTGCTTCAAGTTCAACAGTACAAATTACACCCAAATGTGAACCTACAGTAACAAATGTTTTCTTGCTAAATAATGCACAAAGAAATAAATTTTATTATAAATTATACAAATTTTATTATATATATAAAAATATATATAATCCTATCCTATATATGGATGTAATTGTACTCACTTATACTGAAATACAGTTGGTGATGAATCTACACAACTGATTAAATTAAATGTACTTTTAACACGAATGTTGGATACTTTTTTATACGACTTTAATATTTGATCATTAAAAGATAAATGTCTATATGTTCTTCCATTACATTTTTGCCACAAACATATATTTTCTTTATCTATTTTATTTGAATTATTTGAAATTGATTTATCCATAATTGCATATGTTTGTGTAGATGTATAATTAATAGGAACATTGACTTCACTAGGTATTAAATTAAATGATAAAATATTTTTAAGATAAGTCAGACATTCTTCAAATGTAGAATCTTTCAGTAGCATTCCAATTAAATTTGGAAATTGAGTATTTACAAGTTCACAAATCTCTGTTGAAATTTGAAGAGCCATAATAGAAGTTCCACCTGATTTTATAAAACCACATGTTTTAGAATTCAAGTAATTATCCCATAAACTTTTAAAAATGTCTTCAATCTCATCTTGATAATTATTCAATACAATTCTATCTTGTGTACATATTTTTTGTAAAAATTTTGTACAAATCTTTCCATTTGTTGTAAGTTGAATATCTTTGATAAAATGAATTTTATCCGGTTTGTAAGTATCAGGTAATTTTTCTAAATGCGACATCACTTCTTTTTTTAATTCGTACTTATTAGTTCCATTCATTATAGCGTGTATACACAAATGCAATTTCTGTCTATCTGCATCCCACCAAGAATAACAATTATATACAAAATCTAATTTGTTAACTATTTTATTAAGTCTTAATAGATTTAATTTATTTCCATATCGTTTTATCATATCGTCTTGTCTTCCTTCATAAAATATTTGTCCGCTGTAATCGATCTGATATAATTTATATATATATATTATTATAAAATATAGTATATTAATAATATAATAAAGAAAAATCTTACATGTACAATATCACCGGTATTACGAAATACAGGTTTATTCATATTTTGAAAAACTTCATCGTCGATAACAGATATTCTACTACTGCTTCCTAAATTCAAAATAAATATAATATATTACATAAACAATAATGTAATAAAATCTAGCCAAATAATTACCAATGTAAAGATGACCAGTTCCTTCCAACACTATATTACCATCTTTATTTCTAACTTGAAATATTGTTTCAGATAAGATTCTACCGAGATTGGATGTTTTATTTTTTTCATTTATCCTTACAATCTTATGAATACTAGCCCAACATGATACCTCGGTAATACCATATATATTATAAAATATAGTGTTATTTTCAATATGTCTAATCTCATTAAGTTTGTCTATCTTAGGACAAGGTTCGCCACCCAAGATAATTGTCTTCAATGGACTAAATTCTCCAAGAATTGTACTGGAAAGATGCTTAGGACACCATCTATGAAAAAGTAGCGATGGAGTACTTTGTAATAAGGTTACTCGGCTCCAAAATATTACATTCAAAAGTCTAAAAATATAATAATATAACATTGTTAATATTACAAATCAATAAATTGAAATGTATGTTATTTATTTTTTTAATAATTACCTATCAGCATCATTTTTTATTCTTTTCGATACCATAAACATAGTACTGCCGGAATGAAGACTTAAAAATATTTCTATTATACTAGGATCAAAAGTTAAACTTGTCAGCTGTGCAATTTTTTCAAATCTTGAAATACATAGAATCAATTTTAAATCAACGATGTTAGGTATTATACAAGAATTAAGTACTTTACAAATTTTTTCTTCTCCAGTTGATCCTGATGTAGAAATCGCATAAGCATAACCACTTTCTACATTTTCTATATATCGTTCCTGTGCTTCATTTACTTTGGATAAATACAAATATTCACCGTATAATTCAAATTTACAAATAATATCTTCATCGTCTACAGGATGTAGTAGAAAAATATATTTTATGTATAAAGTAGATAAAAACTTGTTGTACGTAGCAACATTCTTTAAAGGTAAATTAACAAAACCGAAACCTTTTGTTAATATTCTATGAATATAAACGAGTAAATCAATATTATTTTCTTTCTGTGATATATTAACATTAAAAATATCTGCTCACCCTAGTATAAGTGTTGGTACACAATATTCAGGAACATCATCACTGATACCAATAAATTCAAAATGTTCTATATATTCTAACACTTCTGAAGCAATTTTATGCCTTCCTTCATTAAGTTCTTTATATTTAATTGCATAAATTTTATTAAAATCATGATACTCTACTGCTGTATTATTCAAATAATTCCAATTAATGATGTCAATCAAAGATTTGAATTTGTTATTAACATCATAATTTAATTTCTGCTTTTTATTTATTGATTCTATAATAATTTAATTATTTATCGTTAAAAAGGAGAAGTTAATTATTTATATTTAATTAAATATATAATTTTTTTTATTATTACCCATAATTAGAAGTAATATCACAACTTTTAACACAAAATGTTTAGTCTTGAGGAACTACCTGTTTCACTTTTTGAAATTAGGTTATGTATACTACTCTGATCATTGCTATGTATCGATTAAAAAACGGAGTTATATACAAGGAGGACGATCGAGATAGGCGTTTGCGTCGAATTTGTGTTGTTAAAAATGACTGAATATCGAGTACGATAATTATCCACGAGGGCGACGATGATGTTCTTAATTTAGATTTAAGTACGTGTGATTTTATAAATAAACAAATAAAATTAATAGGTCACTTTGATGTTTTTGTTTTAATTAGTTTTTAAAAACCAGATTAAGCGACTAGACGCGCTCACTAGTGGCAATAGAATTCATTTTTTCATTGTAAATATTGTACCCACATTTCCTCCTTGTATATATAAGCTCCATGGATTAAAAGTTGAATTAAAATATATATCGAATAAATCGATTATTATTATTTGTATCATACTAAACAATGTTTCTTTTGTATATATATGTATGATATATATATATATATTTATATAATATTAAATTCTTTTAATTTTGTTTCTCTATTATCGAATTACAAAATATACATGAAACGATTTAATTTTTTAAAGATATTAAAAATAAATAAATATTGTTAAATTGTTGTATTTTTACCTTGTAAATTTAACAAAAGTGTATACAACAGCGAGAGAAAGTAAATGAGTGAGAGTGAGAATGAAAGTGAGAGATAGACAGAAAGAGTAAGATATTATTACCTAAGATTACGGAAATATATTTAAACTATAATTTTACAAATTAATCTTAAAGATTTAGATTTAAGATCATTTAAAATGTGTTATTAAGATATGAGAAAAAAATATAAAAAATATGATGAAAACTATTAGTCATACAGTATGTAGAAATTTAATTAATATTTGCCATAAAATATTTACATATATTTAATCTATTGGATTAAAGTAGATAAATAAAACGTAGTCAACTTGTTTAATTATACCATTTAAGCACATCATCAATGAAATTGTGGTTTCATGTAAATTTTTTGCATGTATTCCGTAACAAAAATGTTTTATAGGACAGAATGAAGGAAAAAAGATGAAAGAAAGACCCAAACATAACAATTTGAAATACTAAAATTAAATATTTTAAAAAGATCCTTTGGCTTTATTTCTCCTCGCACCATTCGTTTTCCTTGCGAACTTGTTCTTCTTCGGATGCTGTAAAGTCATTCTTAATGTTAAATGTTTTACGAATTTCTTCAGGAGTTTTGCCTTTAATCATATTAGCGACAGTTTTGCACGTAACATCTAAGAGTCCCTTAATATCAAGATAATTAGCTGCCAAAATTAATTCAAAGAGTGTGCCCTGATCAACCTAAAAGAAATAACGTACAACTATATCTATCAAGTATTCTTAAATTGTGATAAACAAATTGTTTGATATGACTCATAATACAAAGGTGACCCATTACTCACGCGTTTAATGTTAACATTTACTTAATTATTGTAGTATATATATTATCAAAGGCTTTTCGAATTCTATATTATGTTATAAATAAATATTTTGCCTTTAAATTAAATCTATTTACAATAACAGTATGTTCCTGTTAATGGATTTATGAGTCACCTTGTACGCTTCTGTTAATATAGCGATATAACATATAACAATAAAGATAACTACTTTTAAGAAATCAGCATCCCAAGAACTAATATCATCAGTACGTTTTTCTTTATTTTCATCATCCTCAGGTGGTGGTGGATCATCTTTATGATAGGTTGCCCATTGTAATACTTTCCTTAGAATAACAGAATTTACATTGGGCAAGGGAACGGCTTCCTCTTCCTCATCATCCATGCCAAGATCTTCTAACATAGTTTTTATCGTAACAGAACATTTTGCAATATCTACATCTACTTCAAATACTTCTCCATCAGAACTTTGCAGCTTAATATTAGGCATCTATAATAAAAGAAATGAATTTCTATTGTGGAAAAAAGAAATTTCTAATCGAATAAAATATTTTAAAAATAGAAAAGCTTAGTTATTCTTTTATACAAAATGTTGCATATTATATATATTTCTCCTTAACCTTGATACGTGTGCATAACGCATATAACTAAGTAATTGCAGAAATATAGATTCTTGTAAATAATTTGCATCAAGGGTAAATATCAAAAGTTGTTTACAGCAGTTACACGTGATACTTGTTTCGAATAATTGTTTTGTTTTTTTTTTCTCTTTTTTTTTTTAAATTCAAAACGATTAACAGCGACCCGAAAGTAATTTTGATTCTAACGAAGCATATTTCATTCCTAACGACGAAACGACATTTTCTCACTTTACATTGCGCGTTTATACATTTTGTAAAAAATGAAATAATTCAAGTAGGATGGTATACTGTAATTTCTTAGGCACGAATGATATTCTAAAAATTTATATTACCTTGTTAATTTTATTTGACGACGAAATGTTTACACTAGCCCAAAGAATAGAGAAATAATGTTATAATTTGAACGCCTTCCACGAAGAGACTCTACCTAGCTTTTGACTCTTCTTGGTTCTCTTTCCTTTCTCCTTCCACTTTTCTTTCTTTCTTTCTCCTTCTGTTCGTACTATTGGTCATCTATAAACATTTTCTATTCGCTAACACTCAATCGATACTCTTCTCTCATTGGTCTACCGTACGTGCAGTAATCGAGCTTCCACTCGAGGGAATTTTAAATCATTAATTAATCGTATATAAATAAATATATAAATCTAATAGAATATTTTTATATTTAATAACATAATACATATAATTTTATTGTAGGGAACTTTAAAACTAATCGCTATTATGAAATAAAGATTATGCGATAGCCACGTCATCTCTCAAACTCTAACACGTATTCTATTGGTTATTACATTTATAATTATTAACTATATAACCAACAGAAAGTATGTAAATGTATTTGAACATTGACTAGTATAAAAAATACGATTTACCGTATCAATAAATATTTAAATCGACTAAAATATTGTTTTTGATTAAATAATATGCTCTGATTTTACTCAATTTCAAAATTAGCCGCCATTATGAAAACAGGCCATGTGACCACATGACGACATCGTCGAGTGCATAGGTGATTGGTCAATCCGTAGAAATCATGCGCGCGAATATTTCCCTCACTCTTTCTTGATCCCTCAGAAAAGACACATCGTTCTCTTGCTCGGTTTCTCGTATCACGGTGGCTGTGAGTACCGTGAAGGACATTAAAGTGTTGAGACGCACACGATCGAGGAAATACATACATACACGCTACGTAATTTTCTATATTTATAAAAAATTATCATACTTTCGGAGATAGGAATACGTAAGACAATTGTTAGATTGGATCTATCTCTGTCAAAACAGTGTCAAAATTGTTTAAAACGTTTCTCAATTGTATATTCATTTATCTATAGAAATAACAAAATATTATTTCAAATTAAATTATTAATATAATTAAAATTTAAAAGAAAGGAAAAGAAAAAGAAATGATATGATATCACGAAGAGCGAGAGAAAAAAAAATCATCAACGCGCTCGTAGTAACATTTAAGTAAAACAAAAAGAAAAAGAAATAATATAATTCTGTCTTTTTTTTGTTTAACAAGAATTTAATATTATCCGAAGTTTGCGTACTATGGATGACTTCAAAATCATTCCTGTCGGTGACAGTGTACCTTAATTTTTCAAATACGTATATATATGCATACATATATGTTCACATTTTTACATATACATACTCCGGATACATAGAATAAGAATGTTATTTGATCTTTGCGTTTAAAAAAAATATATATATATAAAAAAAACAGAAAGAAAAAATTCTGGTGATCCAATTTCTTAAAGATAAAAGAACTTTTGATTTACGGAATAAGTGTGTAAGGTACAAGTACACCCACATACATACACACACGTTGATCAACTTTTAAGCCAGCAGAAGGGAAATACTAGATTCGCGAGATGGAGTTCAAGTTCAACGTCAATAAACTACTACCTAAGAAGATCAACAAGGCTACTCATATGTTAATACCAGAAGATTTTAAAGGAGATCGTCGTCAGCTAAAGTAAGATTATTATTATTATAATTATAAATATATATAATCTTATATATTTTCCTTTCTTTTTGTATTATTGTAATTAACATACATACATATATGTATAATGTGTATGTAAGAGGACGTTACACCTGTGTTATTAGCCGGTCATTACAGGAACGCGTATACGCTGGCGCGAAATGCTGTGTGGGCGAGAACGGCTTCGCCCCAGTATTATTGATGGCCTTTTTTTTTTAAATGGACCATATATATACGCCTTTCGAAATAATCTTGCAGAATTTAATCCCGATTGCATAAAAATATTAACAATTTTTTTGTTACGATTATCTATCCAATTTTTATTCACGGAACACTTCGTCGTATTAATTATCAATTAAATGACGACGACGACGACGACGACACGACGATGCAAATGTCGATAAAAACATCTGGAAATAATTATGGATTATTTAATCTAATATATCTTATGCGATAAATATATATGTATGCATGTAAGAACGTGTGAATTTAAAAGAACGTTCGTAGAAATTCTTAAGCAGTGACTCGAACGAACGCTCACGGAAGTCTATGACGAAATGGTAGAGTGCTTTCTCACCGCTTACCTCCCGTTGCTCCGTTATTATGTGGAAAACTATCTCTCTTGGATCCCTCTTTCCTTTTTGCATTGAGAAGAGAACAACGTTGGGGAGTTCGGTAAATATGTAGTGCCGACTCTCCTGTGTTACCTAGATACAAATAATAATACTTTCAAAATATTTCGTTAATGCGTTCACCATTTCGATATTTTCATTTTTCCCCCTCTAAGTAATATCGATATTTAGAAAGTCAATATTAATCACTTTTTATGTTATTGGACAACATTATACAATACTGAACTATATTTGGGGATTTACAGTAAAAAAAGTCTGGGTATAACTTGCTGATTAATCCAAATAAAAACTCGCTAAGATTCATTAATTTTCAAATATGTGTAAAACTCGACGAATTGATCGATATGCTAAACAGACATACTATTTATGAGATATAAATGCGACGAAACATGATCGAATCGTCCTTAGACTACTTCAATCGATGTTAAGGTCGAAGCCTATAGACGATAATTACATTTTATAACTTAAAATAATGTTTTACTGCTATCAAAAGTATTAAAAACAAATCTAAACGGAAATTACGGTAGACATAGACACATATAATAACGATAAATAATACAATATATATCGGTTATTACAAGATTAGCTGAGAGTTGTAATTCAACGAGCATACCCAACGTGTATTATGTAATGATGCTATTCGTGATGTAATTTTCTACGTATTACAACGTTGTGCATCGGATAATTAATTTAATTTTCACACAATTCTATCGGTATTTCAAACCTAACTGTTACAAGAAAATAAATAAGTTACAATCGATACGTAAAATTATACGGAAAATAAAATTATTGTCGTTGCAATGATCGATTGAGCTGCAGCCAATGTTGTTGACCTAACTATTTAAAAAACAAAACAAAAGAAAATGGATTATTTTTAATGATGTTGCAGCGATGATCAACGACAAATAAAAAAAATTTTGGATGACATGGGTGAAGCCTCTGCCAAAGCTCAAGGATTAAGCAAACCAATTACCAGTGCTAGTAAACTTCGAGACACTGACCATATCGTTTATCTTCTTGTTGACAGCGAAGCGAACAAGTAATTATTCATATTTTTTTCTCTCATCAAATTAATATGAAATTATAATAAAAAAAAAAATAAATATATCAATAATTTAGAAATAAAAAATATATTTTAATATGCTCGAGTAGACGAGTTATATTTCCTATGAAAGCAGGAGGGCTTTCGTAGTATATAGCAATGGTGGATCGATAACGAAGCTGGGCTTTACTGCGGGAAATGCGTCTTTTAGCTTTTTTCTTTCTTTTCTTTTTTTTTTAAGCGAGGGAAGAATTGTAGGTTCATTTTATATTCGTGACATTAATTTATATTAATGTTCGTCATTGATTAACTCCTTCAACTAAATGACGCATTTAATATTGAATATTTTGTGTGTAATAATCTTACGTAACAGCTCGAGAAAGATGAAATTTGAGATAATCGAAAGATTAAGATAACGATAAGTAATAAAATTTGTATTCTTTTTCGGAATCGGGCCACGCTAGATGTTATTTTACGATAATATACCTAAATATAATACTTAGTTTCATATCAATCGTAAATGCATAATCGTTTGATCTTCGATTTTGTAGCAACTTGGGGAGCGTAGTAGGTTTGCTGAAAACTGGATCGAAAAATTTGTTTATGTTCGATGAAACTGGAGCAAATTATCAATTGAAACCACGGTGTATATTGGATTTTTATATTCATGAATCTCGACAACGTATGGGACTTGGAAAAATTCTTTATCAGTACATGCTGTCCGTAAGTTTATTATTAATTAATTTTAATTAAAACAATAGTAAATTCAAAGGACACCAACGTGATCAAGAATATTTCTGAATTTTGTTCTATTTATATCGGAATTTGGTATACAATAAATTTCTCTTTATATTATTCTATTCAATATAAAATTTTGTAAACGTAAAAAATATTCATCCAGCACGATGAAAAATTATAAAAGTAAGGTAGGTGTTACGATTCCAAGGTAGCATGAAGAAGGTGAGTGAACTCATGCAGGCCGTTTATTTCGACATGGTTCGTTGATTTGTATCTAATCCATGGTAGCAAAGTTTCTCCCTCAACTTTTATCAAATGAATATGTGAACGTTAGATAAATCAACGATCCTTTCTACATACTTAAATCATTTGATATTTCACGGCCGCAATAATTATAATTATTTGATTAACTCTTTCTAAAGATATTTCTAGCGATTACAATTTCTCCACGTGTTTCTAATTTTTCTAGGAAGAAAATATCAGGCCAGTGAAATTAGCGATCGACAGACCATCGGAGAAATTTCTTGCCTTTTTACAAAAGCATTATGGATTGTCCAAAATCATACCGCAAAATAATAAATTCGTAGTATTCCAAGGATTTTTTGACGACGGTGAGCTCCCTTCTTCTTTTTTTGTTGAATCAATAAACTCATTAAGAGACTTGGCCAGTGTGTTTATTCGTGTTTACATAAAATCAATAAGTTCGAACTAGAAAAAAAGCCCTGTTAAAAAATTTTATTCACTTGACCAACAAGTAAAATATAAATCTGCAATATAAAATACTAGCGTTAATTGGCTAATTCAATAAAATATAATTTAATCGATGAGATATGAATTTGATATTAACTATTATTCATAATGCTATAAAGTATTATGAAAATCCTACAAAGGATCGACTGGTAATCTGAATAACACCATAAAAGTACAAGGCCAGAGTCGAGTCATCGTCGATCCCACTTCATTTTAAAGGTACGAAAAAGGTACACCACAAGGTCAGTCAGTCAGTCTGATATAGGCCAGATACTTGCCGATGATATTGCATTGGAAAAAAAAAAATTAAAAATAAAAAGAAAAAAGAATATAAAAAGGGAGCAGTTGGAAATAGCAGTCAATGCTATTGATAATTAATTTTAAAGGAGCTTATAGCTCTTTCTAACAATCTGATTTCAAATCGTAAGAGGGAGATTTTACCCTTGGCTTAGATTTATGTTGATTAAAAATCTAACAACTTAGTTCCCATTCGCAAAATGATAGCTTGCTTTGCGAAGAACTTCGAACTTTGATCTAATTTTTATTATTACATTTTGTTCTCTTTTCCGTTTGTTCTTTTTTAGAAATTCAAGATGTTAGAGCAAACAGATATAGTTTACCTCCAAAACATTCTTTCGATATCGGAATGCCTAATAATAATACAACGAAAAGTAATAGGTAGGTGTATTATGAAAAATATGAATGTGTGTGTATATATATATACTATATATTAAAAAATACTTGTGAATCAATACTTTGTTTAATAAATTTTCTTTTTAGTACAAATGATATCCCGTATGTTTCTACAGTTTCACGAAGTTCTTACGGAAGATACGCCGCTGGACGACCGCCTTGTTCAATGGCAAACGTAAGTGAATTTATATAAATCGTATCTCTTAATTATTATTAATAATTTTTATACAAAAATACATACATATATTTGAAAATAACAATTAATTATTATAGATAATCCATAACACTGCAATGGTTGGTCAATCAGTTGAACGTACAGGGTGAGTAAAATCGGAGTACAGTGTTCCGACGATTGAAATTGTTGTGCGATCCTTTTAAAACATTTGTACAAACGATTTAGTTAAACAATTTGCATTATATTTATTTTGTTATTATTGTTTTAATACGCGAAATAGTCCGAATTTTTAACGAAAAAATGATACGTATTTTAATTTGGAAAACTAAAAAAAGACGAAAGCTACAAACTTCATTCCAGGATCGTTAAATGGGATGTTTGTTCTTGCCAAAGTTACATATATATTTTTCAACATATATCGTTAAATTATAGTTTAGAAAAACGGATAAGTCTTCTTTTGATTTTATTTAAATTATTATTATTATATGTAAATACAAGACAATTTTATGCAATTAACGTATAAAATATGTTTTTTCGATTACTAAATGACATAAACTTAAACTTGTTAGTTACTTTAATAGTTGATTATTATTAAAACTATCAACATATATTTATTTAAATAATTTATTTTTGACGAATTATCAATGTTTAAAAAATGATAAAAAAATATTTATATTGTAGAAGTTATTTCATATGTTATAAGAAAACATTGTTGTTCAATACTTTAATGTGTTGTTCGTTAATACTCGCACTTGAAAAATACTTCAACACTTTATCATGCATGTTTTTACACACATGCAAATATAGTATATAATTAGTTAATTGTGATATTTATATTTTACTATTTAAAATCACTCGCACCGATCTCATTTATTCTATTCGTTTAATTTTTTAATTATTTTTTCATGCTTCACATAATCTTATGCTTATCTGTATTTATGTAGTCTTCCTATACAAATTTCTCCAAATTTGCTGTTTGCAAAATATTTTTCGTTGCATTAATAACGCACACGCATATACATTTTTTATTATATCTTATAATTATTATTAAGAATAATATTTGGTAAAGATTTCTTCTTATAAAATTTATCATAGAAATAATATTATTTAAATACCATGCGACGTTTATATTTTTATTAGACCCATTTCTAAGCCTTCAGAGAAGGTTGCTGAAGCTTTGGTTTGCAATTTTATTTCTTTATGTATACACTTTATCATTCATACATATGTTCTCAAATTTTAATGTCAAATAAAATAAATCATAAATCACAAAAAATTTTATATCGTATATAAAAAAAATTGCATGTCCTTGCTTATGTTTACATTTTTGCGTCTTCACGGAAAGAGATTAAATTTTCAGCGAGGATATTAATTCGTCCCCTATAACGCCAAAACTGGAACGACCTCGGTCTTTAAGTTTGTATTCGGAGGATGATCAAAAACAACGTACAAATGAATCATCAACAGTACCGAAGACAGTTGTTCCTAATAACGAAGCAACATCATTTGCTCCCGTTATAAAAGAAACTGAAAAAACTGTTAAAGCGTCACCTTCATGCAGCCAAGAAGTAACCGGAAACAATCAGCACACTCATCTCGATCTCAAATTTTACCATTCGCCATTATGGTAAAAAAAGAAAACATTTATAAATGCTATTATCATAAACACAAAATAGAAATAAATTTGATGCTAAAGTAATTTTCTGTCTAGATGCTTATTACATATAAAAAAGTATTGTGTTCTTATGGCAACACTTTTCTCCACGCAAACTAATTTCATTATCTATTTATATTTTTATTTATTTGAAATCACTAATTACTTTCTTTTTAAGATGCTAATGTTACGTTTTTAGGTACGCTTAACTATTAACATTTAATTTTTATTATATTAAATAGAGCAGCATTGACAAAGTTTCAATTAATAAATGCTTACGATTAGAAAGTACAATAAAACAATAAAAAATACACCAAACAAAAAACCTAATAAAACATCAATACCAAATAGTTTACTCTAAGTTCATAATTTATATTACAAGTAGCAAGCTAAATTTTAAAAATAAAAAAATCTAAAAGCGTAAGACAGACTAAGGCGCAATTTTATGTTCAAATTGATTGAATGTCTAATCTATAGAAAATATATCTTACACTATTGTATTATAAAACATTTTCATCAGTTTGGTTTTAAATTATCCATATAATAAAAAATAAAAAACAAAAAAATTAAAACATATATATAAATTGTAACAATAAATAACATATTGAAAAATTATAATCAATAAAATATTAAAGTATTAATCAATTCAAAGGTCATCAATCTTCTCATTTGTAATCCAGGAAATTAAATTTATACATGTATCCTGACTTAAATATAAATAGTTAACGAGCATTGCCTCGAGAATGCCTAAACCTACCCCAGCGCAGATGTCAAGTATATTATGTCGTCTCATTAAAAGTCTAGATAAAGAAATACAAATACACCAAACTATTATAGATGGTACAAAAAAAATGGGTACTTCCCATAAATACAAAAAGAAATAGGTAATGAAAGTAGAACGGGATGAATGTCCTGATGGGAATGAATATTTATCTGGGCCAATTGAAAAATAATCATCATTAGCGGCAGGTCGTCTTCTTCTGGTTAACGCTTTCAATATTGCAGTTACGAATATATCAATTAAGAAGCCTAAACAGATTTCCATTATGTATACTACATATATAATAATTATATTAACAATAGCATGTAAATCTTATTTAAAATTAAATTTACTTAAGTACATATTTTCATTCTAAAGGTCTAACCATTCTTTTAATTTAGAAATCATTACCACTTACCCATGAGAAGATTAACTTGCATTTGATAAAGGGACGTACTGTTTAAAATCCATATCGAAGCTAATGTCAATGCGATCCAAGTAACTCCATGGCACGATATCTTTGAAAATAAAATACTAATTATCATCTTGAACATTGACCTTTGGAACATATAGCATATTATACTTAGATATGTTTTTCATAAATACCTCTAATGCCTTATAATGTGTTTTGAGTTGTTTCATCGTTACATATTTTTCAAATGTAGTTACAAAAGTTTTGGTTAAATAAACATCTGCTGCTAAAATTTTTTTCAATAACGAAGGGACTTGTCGTTTTTCAGTCTTAATTATGTGAAAAGAACAAAAAATAATATTAATTAATAAAATACTGTTATCGCATTATACTCATAAATAAATTATTTTTAAAGAAATACCTGATCCATGATAATTGTCGAATAAATTATACACACGAGTACAACCAAAAAATAATAATCAGTCTTACTTTATTGATATATAAACCAGTATTAACTCAGATAACGAATCTCCTAATCGAAAATCGTGCACCTAACCTAAACTACACACGGATTAGGAATAAGAAAAAATAATGCACCGAAAATTCTGATGGCGCTAATATCTATCGGTGATATTCGAAAATATAAATTCAAATAGATTTAAAAAATCACATAGGACTACTGGCCTTTAAGAAATGGGCTGATCAGAAAGTAAGAAAAGAGAAAAAAATATTAAAAAATAAATGGATTACACAATAGTTGTTACGTTCTATAGTATCGTTTTTAAAAACGTTGTTCGTGATCCATAAATCTTTTTGTACTATTACTTGAAAGTATCTAATAATAAGTATCCTACTGTGCTTTTTCCTTTTGATTAATATGAGTGAGGGTAAATTTAAAGTTCAAGGGAACTTAAGATATGAATCATTATCAACAAATAATTGATATTTTATACATGTGTAACATGTTTTGTTATATTCTGTATTTAATATTTCCATTAATATTAATTTATTAAATTAATGGAAATATATATCTGTTACAAGATTATATTTGATTAATATTAGATTGACAAAGCTTTCGAAAGAACGACGAAGAATAAATAATCGAATATTCGCAATTATTGCAACAATTAGATGAACGTAAAATAGTATATAAAAATAATCGAAAGAAAGAAACACAAATGTGCATTTGCTCGTGCAGTGACCGATGTTGCCAAAAAAATGGCGTCGCATATGTACTTATATAAGTAAAAGATATAAAAAGAAGGTTGTCAAGCGTAGCGTACTCTCGCGACGTCAAACGGAACAATTTTGACCAGCGCTGATTGGCGAATAGAATCGTGGGTGGTGATTGTTATACGCATGCTCGAGATATCGCCATATTTAATTTTTCGCAACTTTTGTTTTTTGAATGATAGAAATAAAAATGAATAAAAAAAGATATTAAATAAAATGATGACAATGTAGGTAGGACCGATGATCATAACAAGAGAATATTAATAATCATGAGATTATGATATGAGGTAAATAAAAAAAAATGAAATCGCGTTTCATGGGAATACGTTTGATGCGCTCTCGGCACCGCGGATTTTTCCAGACGCGCGCGATTTTATTCTGCGCATGGAAAGCAATTTTGCCCAATCATAAATAGGGCTATTGTGGGGGGATGGTGTATGCCGCTGGCGCATTTCATACATCCGAGTGTAATGGTAACGAGATAGAGGCGTCGCGCGGGGATATCGGCCGGTTAGCACCGTAAATACCCTATTACCGTACTAGCGCCAAAAAAATCTAATCTTAAAAATTGCATTTATTTATTTACAATACGTGTTTTGCGAGATATCACTTTGATTGTAACGTTGCCTGAAGTTATTTCTCGTTTCTTTCCTTTATACTTAACTCCTTTTTCTCTCTCTTTTTTTTTTTTACACATTTCTTTTCTAGCGATCTTTTATACGCATATACATACATAATATGTATATATATATACGTGTACGTTCTCTCGGTACACGAAACGCGAGTGTAGAAAAAAAAGAACACGTTCCACGAGGAGAAGAGCGTTGATCAGCTTGCTTGGTTGCTTGGTTGTTGCTTGATTGCTTGCTTGTGTCTTTCTCAAACGTGTACCATCTTCGTTGTAGCCGTTATTGTAGTAGTCGCTTCGTCGCTTTATAGTGTGTCGTCGATCGGGTTGTGCGTGCGAGCGGTCGAGCGAGTGATCTGTGACGTCAGTGGTCCGATCGGCTGTCACCTGTCAAGCCGACGAATCCCTCGCCTTACCTCAGTCCCCTTCCCCCTTGACTCTGGAGCCACCCCCCAATCCCCGCACAACTCTTCCTTGCCAGGGATTCTCCCACCATACTCTCACAATCACCACCCACCACCAACCACCACTACTACCCTTTTCGCGAGAACCTCGCGAATCTCCCACCCTCGATCTAGTACTCCAGCTCCTCTTCCTCCTGTTCCTCCTCTTCCACCTCTTTTACCTCACCCACCAAATACTCCGAGCACCCGTTTTCCCTCGCTCTTTTTTACCAGCATGGTATATACATCCCAGCGGTACCGCCACCTCTCTCCCAGGCACGAACACTGCCGCCGGCAACCTCTCTTGCCCTTTTACCCTTTTATCCCGGCCATTCCGAAAACCGAGACTTCTGAGTACGAGTACCCCCCTGACTGCATCCCCTTCTCTCACCGTATCTCCCTTTTTCTCTCTCTCCCTCTCTTTTCCTCCCTGATATATACTCCCATTCGCCTCCTGCCGCGACGACCGCAGACACAAAAACAATAACAAATCGATTCGCAAGAGAGAGCAATGGGAGGGGGTCAGTGCAGTAGGGCGACAAGGATGGCGCTTTATACGAATAGAGGGGAACCCTATCTGTCTCTCTCTTTCTCTTTCTCTTTCTCTTTCTCTTTCTCTTTCTCTCATATATACACATACACCTACTCAATCCTCATCCCCCGCACTCTCTCGGTCTCTCTCTCTCTTTTTAGATATTGTATAGAGAACGTTATGCTAAAGTATGCATGCACGAGGGTTGGTCCGATGGTCAGGAATATCGCGAGTTCGTTCGTTCTGCGCCAGCACGTATCCGGGCAGTTCGCTTACATACTTACTAATTCTATTTTTACCTATTTATCTATCGTGCATTTGCATTTTTATCTATTTGGTGGTACACGCGGTTAACACTTTCGACACTATAACGATTAAGATCGACCGATTTTTGCAAGGACCGATCGTGGTCTATTAGCACTGCATGGGGGATGAGACTACGTAATGACGATCGGCCAGAGTTGCGGTAGGCCACCAGAGGGGCACCTGTAAGAGACATCCAATCCCTTTATCCATCTTCTTCTTCTTCTTTAGGAAAAATTATTTAGGATATATCTTTAGGGCCAATCTCTTCGCTTTATTTGGGACCCGTACATACGATTAAGTTAATTTATCTTCAACCATTTCAGTCAAATTATTGAACTGGGGCACATGTCTGACGTCACAGATCATAATACGGGTAATTGCTCGTTAAAACTCTTCTTCTTCTCTTTTAATCTGTGTCCCAATAAATAAATTTAGATCTCCCTTTCGATCGTTCCGAATTAAAAATATATCGGAACAAATGTATCTATTGAAGATATTTTCTTTAGATGGAATATGGGATTTGGAGTCTTCACGTTGCGGGTGAACTTTGGGGAGACCCGCGTCTCGCCCGTAGACATCCAATCTTACCCCCAAATGCGACACAAATACTTCCGAGGGCTGCTTTAGCCCTAAGTGCCCTACATCAGCCAACAAATATGGTACCTTTACCGTTAACATTATCTGGGCCACCCTATGGCCCAATGGAATTGGTTACGAAATCTTCCGGCAGTACTAACGATTTAGAATCGGTCAAAGATGAAAATAACGATACTTTTCGTCGCGAAGATAATGACGATGGCGATGATAACGAAGGCAACGAAGAAAACATCGAAAAGCCCGACGAAAATGAAAATCAAGTAGGTTCATATTTCTTCATTATGCATTCTAATCCCGTTATATGAAAATAAAATGAACAAATTCCTTTATTAATCATTTAGACTTCCGAACAAATCGAGAATAACGAGAACGAAGATGAAGAGGAAAGCGATAGCGGAAGTACCGGAAGTTCGCACAAGTCGACTAACAACAATTTCGCTACGAAATTGTTAGATCCTATATCATGTTTAGGTCTCGACAAGGTACGTTATTTGCCTTATTGATTATTAATAAGATCTAAATGAATGTCTCATTAATATTTATCATATAGGAAGGGGCAGTGTCGCCAGTACTAAATGGTTGGGTATTAGGCGCTTATACAGCAATGTTAGGAAGGTTATCAGCAGCTACTGCAGCTTTAGAAGCTACACAAATTCCTAATATGCCTTCTGATAGTGATTCCGAGAGTGAGCACTCTTCTTACACGGAAAGGTATACTAACTGCATTATTATTAATACTAGGAACGAATTGTAATAATGAGAAACGATATTTTAATGATATACAGGTCAAGAGGTAGTAGTCCAAATGCAAATAACATTCATCGAGGATATTCATGTGGTTCTTGCGACGTAGTAGCACCAACGCGACCAGCTTTAAGAAAGCACATAGCGGATTGTCATCCAACATTAAATGGTACAGAAACAAGGGAATCCAGGACTTGTCCCGCCTCTGGCTGCGATTTTACAACGAATAGTAGATGCGACATGGAGACACATGTAGCAGCACACGTGGCACAAGGAATGACACCTACTGGAAAGAAACGTACGCTGGCCTTGCAACGCGTCAGGTATAGGTACTCAAGTCAAATCATTTTTTATTACTTCTTCTTCTATATACTACATTATTATATGTGCCTCATGATTTTGTTTGATTATGGGTTTATTTTTGCTTCCGAAAATTAGATACGAAAGGGAGGAATATCGATGCTCTTTATGTTCCTATGCCTGTACGATCGAGAAAGCTTTTCAAAGGCATTTGAGAGCACACGCGAGAGGTACAGCACCAGAAACAAGAGTTAGTTGTGCAGTATGCGGTGCCGATAGATCATCTGAAGTTGATCTTAGTAGACACATGAGAAGGCATCGAGACGATCGTTACTTTTGTTGCGATATCTGTATCTTCCGTACGGTTCAATTGAAAAAGGTAATTAATAACAAATTCTTCCTTATAGTATCTTTGCTTTTGTTTTTATGTTTTCTATCAAATTACTCGTGCAATTGAAATAGATTTGACCTAGATTAAATATTGATGATTCAGTTGATTCAACACCGTCGTATGCACACCGGTGAGAAACCACATCTTTGTCCGCACTGTGCATACAGAAGTGCACGACGTGATAATCTACGGAGTCACGTTAGGCGAGTTCATAAGAAAGAAAATTTATATTGCGATACGTTCAGTCCACGTGGCATGTTGATAACGCCAACTATGAACGATAAAGATGATTCGATCGTCGTACAAAGTCCCGCGTCTTCGCCGTCCTCTAATCCTGAGTCGACGAATTAGTGCTAACGAAGAAATTAGTGCAAGGATGAATGAATTAGCCTCTTAACGACTTTCGGTCAGAGGTAAATATTCATTTTATTTTATTTTTTTATTCATTTATTTATTACAGGCTGCGGATCAAAAGTTCCTAAGTTATTTTTGGAACTAAAAATCA